TCCCTTCCTCACCACAAATTGTGGTCCATTGGTTCTAGCCATGCCTTCCAAAAGTTTACAAGCCCAAGAAGCTGTTCAAGTTAAAACAATGATGATGATTGATTGATTGATGATGGTGATGATAACAATTCCCTAAATATCAACAATTCCCTAAATTTAAAATGATCAACTTTTTGAAATCTTAAAATCTAATCTTGGAATAATAATAATAATAATAATAATAATAATAATAATAATAATAATAATAAAAAATCCCATTCAAGCCATAATTTAGTTAGTGCTTCTTAGCAGAAAGATACTTACAGAAGACGTTCATCTTGTTGGCTTTAAGAGTGTGGATGGCAATGCTTGGAAGAAATTCTACTGATGCGATACAAAGTGCTCAAAACTTGTTAATTCACATGCAGAGAGGATGGCATTTGAGAACGCTTTTATACCCTAACCTTCTTGCCTACACTTTTATCTTCTCCTCCCATTCTAATTATACATAAAACAAGGAACAAGGAAGTCAACTTCCTTGAATGTACACCCACGATGAACCCACATGAAAGGAACATATCAGTTCTGAGAGTTTTTCAAGAATTTTAGATACAGCTTATGCATCTGAACCTAATTGTAAAATCAGAAGATGCTCTAGTTGACTATCCTGTCATTTCACATCCAAATATTTCACATCATTTCACATCCTCTTGCAATAACCTAAATAGCTTTAAAACTCGATAATAACCTAAATAGTTTTAAAACTCGACTGAGCAATTAAGCAACCTTTCTCAACCTTTTTTTCCCAGAGGAACCCTTATAATAATTTTCAGGTCTCAGGGAACCCCCGCATAAAAATCACCCAAAAAAACAAAAACAAAAAACTTCACAATAATTTCTAATCTAGATAATACATGTTTTACTACATTTACAACAGCAGTCTAGCCACAGGGCAGCAGCTAAGTCAGGGCACGATCTCTTGTGGAATCCCTAGTTTCTGTAGAATCCCAGTTGAGAAAGGCTGGTCTAAATAATTAATATCCCATGAATTTCCCCCAAACTTCCCCCTCAATTTTCAGATTGGGATTCTCTGAAAGTGTACATTTAACATGTTGATATGGGTCAAAATTATACATCTGTACTGACATCTTCCAAGTATGCTCTGCAAACTTTAATACTGGAAATACAGAAGAATTTTGATTATATTCTGCCGTGATTCCAGAGAGGTCACACAATACATTTCTAGTTGTGTCCACAGTGGTTTCTGGACTTAATTGCTTGGATTCATTAGAGAAATAGAAATCAAATATATGCCCAGTCATAAAAGTGAAAGCTGGGAATGATAAAAACCCTATCATTGTGTTCTTGCTATAATTAAGAAAATTTGATGGTTTGTCCTTCCTTTATGTTGGTGGCACATAATCAATCAATCTCCAAATCTATATATCTATATATCTTGAATATTCATTTTTACTACTTAACTTTTCCCACAATCTCACTAGGATTTTTAACCATTTATTTAGGCTTCTTCTCCATTTTTGCTACCTTTAGAATTTGTACAATCCAGATTTCTAAGATTGGCCCTTCAAATCCCCAAAGTGTTTCTAATGCCACCCTGAGACTAGAGACAGGCCTCATGCAAGCGGAGGCTAGAGGGTGGGTGACCATGCTCAACTACTGGCTCAGACTCTCCTTTTTTCCCCTTGGCC